GTTAGAAGTGAGAGCATTTTAAATGAGAGCGTGCGGTTGTGCGGAAATGTTCATTTTTTGGCCAACATTTATTTATGAAGTCCGATAAAATTAGGATTCAGTGCGATCTGAATGAAACTCGCAGAAGCTGTAGACTCAAATGCCTTCAACAGTCTGTGAAAATCTCAAGTTGTTCCTTACTCTCGTTTAGGAGTGAGAGCATTTTAAATAAGAGCGTGCATTTGTACAAAACCGCCGAAAAATTTGGATGATAGTCCGTCATTTGATCTGAACTTGGCCCTGACGTTTCACCAGCACGCATCTCATATTCTTCAGATTTAGCCACTCGTGCTGGGAGGAAGAAACTCCTTTCCACGACGGCGTAAAAGCCCAAAAAGACCAGATTCTCGTTTCATGGTTCATCTCTAGTTTACAGCGCTCGTTTACCTAGCAAGAAGCGAAAGTTTTGAATTGACGTCGCCGAATTTTTGCTTGAAACAATGTAAATACAGTTCATGTGCACTTTCGCTCTCAATATCGCTTCGGAAAATCCATAAATACACGTCGTTAATAATTAATATGACATGTCTGGGTTCTCAGCGGAAACAAATTGTAGACAGCTAGGCTAATTATAAAGTGGCACAAGTCTATTCGTGAACTGTACACATATGACGCACTTTAATATTAAATTATATTTTGGTCCATATTAACTAACGTGTTTCTCAATTCAACCACATGGTACACGGGGCGTATGTTGATGAACCGAAGGAAAAGACCAGATATTCACGAATGAGTTGACTAGCAAAAAATAAATTAAAGTGGAATTTTACAATTGGAAAAGTTGCGAAGATAAGAGATCCTTGTTTTAAAATACGACCAACAGTACGCAATAATTTAAAACTTGGATGACCTGACCCCGATATACAAAATGCAAACAAACTCGAAATAAAAATAGAAGAAGATATTACGCGGAACGATTAAAGTGCTCTTGGGTCTGGCCTGTGTTTGATGGCTTAATTAAGGGGATTATTGCAATTTTGTCACTTCACGTTTTGCACAATTGCACCCATGAATAAACATTGTTG